TTGAGGTCAGGGGATTGTGGAGGCCAGGTCATCTGATGCAGCACTCCATCACTCTCATTCTTGGTAAAATAGCCCTTACACAGCCTGGAGGTGTGTTGGGTCATTGTCCTGTTGAAAAACAAATGATAGTCCCATTATTGTAAGCCCAAACCAGATGGGATGGCGTAAATAAATCACAGACAATGTCACCAGCAAAGCACCCCCACACCATAACACCTCCTCCTCCATGCTTTACGATGGGAAATACACATGCAGAGATCATACATTCACCCACACCTCATTTCACAAAGACACAGCGGTTGGAACCAAAAATCTCCAATTTGGACTCCATACCAAAGGACAAATTTCCACCGGTCTAATGTCCATTGCTCGTGTTTCTTGGCCCAAGCAAGTCTCTTCTTATTATTGGTGTCCTTTAGTAGTGGTTTCTTTGCAGCAATTCGACCATGAAGGCCTGATTCACGCAGTCTCCTCTGAACAGTTGATGTTGAGATGTGTCTGTTACTTGAACTCTGTGAAGCATTTATTTGGGCTGCAATCTGAGGTGCCGTTAACTCTAATTAACTTATCCTCTGCAGCAGAGGTAATTCTGGGTCTTCATTTCCTGTGGCGGTCCTCATGAGAGCCAGTTTCATCATAGCGCTTGATGGTTTTTGCAACTGCACTTGATGAAACGTTCAAAGTTCTTGAAATGTTCCGTATTGACTGACCTTCATGTCTTAAAGTAATGATGGACTGTTGTTTCTCTTTGCTTATTTGAGCTGTTCTTGCCACAATATGGACTTGGTCTTTTACCAAATAGGAATATCTTCGGAATACCCCCTATACCTTGTCACAACATACACTGACTGGCTCAAACGCATTAAGAAGGAAAGAAATTCCACAAATTATCTTTTAAGAAGGCACACCTGTTAATTGAAATGCATTCTAGGTGACTACCTCATGAAGCTGGTTGAGAGAATGCCAAGAGTATGCAAAGCCGTCATCAAGGCAATGGGTGGCTATTTGAAGAATCTCAAAATTAAAATAAATGTTTATTTGTTTAACACTTTTTTGGTTACTACATGATTCCATATGTGTTATTACATAGTTTTGATATCTTCACTATTATTCTACAATGTAATAAATAGTAAAAATAAAGAAAAGCCCTTGAATGAGTAGGTGTGTCCAAACTTTTGACTGGTAGTGTATGTCTGACGACGAAATACTCGCAGTGATGAAGAGAACTACTAGTTGGGCGCCGATGGTGTCGTCAAACCTTATTTATTGGAGCCTGAGTATTCTGACGAATAATTTTGGTAAATTGAGCTTGAGATGTCCACGGCCCTCTAGCCACCGAAGCCTCAGCAGTAGCTGGACCACAGCCCCAACCCATCCCCAGGATCAACACAGACTGGTGGTGCAGTTGTGGCAATTACAACACATAGGTTGTAATATGGCTTTTTTTGGGTGGCTTCCCCAGTGATTTTACCCACGCACCGCTACTGCTATAGGCCAATCTTAACACTGGGTTACATCCTGACAAAATACATCATATGAGTGGCCTGCTAATGTCCCTTTCTGGACCTTCTAAACAGTTGAGAATAGACCCAAACTGATCCAAATGGTTGCATAATCAGGCCTAGGCTGTAGGCCTATGCAGTTATTTTGGCATGAAACAAAACAGGACTTTTGAGCAGTTATTCAAATTAGCCAACATTACTGCAGTTCACAGCCTATGGACAATAATTGTGTACTCACTTGATAACAATAATACATTCTTCATTGCACTTTGTTGTTGTAGCCCAGGTATAATAATTGTATTGTCTAAAAACAAGGCCTAACCTTAATCAATAGTGGAGTTTAGCGTGCCAGGGGACCATAGAGCTCAGCCTGGAGGAATGCACTACTTAGGCAATCACTGAACGGATCAATTGGCTCAGTTGGTCAGGTGTGATGCCTAGTTGGAACAAAATCCTGCAGTACCTGCGACACTCCAGGAACAGGGTTGCCTACCCCTGGGCTATACAAGCCAGGAAATCCCAGGAAAAGCTATAGTAAAAGCTTTAGGACATTTAATAATTTTTTATACTAGGCCTAATAGCCTATTTGGGGAAAGAAGCAGGCTTGGTCTTGCTAATTGCTGAATGTAAAACAGGCCTACAGCATTGAAAATGCATTTCGAGGAATGTTGAGGAGAGAAAGTGCATTGGTGTGATCACTTTTGTCCGGTTATGATAACGTTGTTGCACTGATGCATTGAAAATAGTTGCACAGGACAGACAGAGAGATGAGCACAGTGAAAATGAAGACCCATAGGAATTGACAACCATTAGAAATGTGATGAGGTGGTGATGAAGAAGTCAGGCGCAGGAGGGTAAATCACAGAATAACAGGCTTTAATCCGCAAAATACAGGTTTATGCAGAAATCCGTAAAACACACTCCAGGGCACTAAACAGGCGCACTGGAAAATACTAGGCACACGGGAAAACTCCCGTTGAATACAAAATACACGCGCTCCACCGACCTCCACAACAAACAATCACCCACACAGACAAGGAAGCAGAGGGAACACGTATACAATGACTAATGAGGGAATAAGGACCATGTGTGTGTGATTGAAGACAAGACAAATGGAGTGATGATAAATGGATCGGCAGTAGCTAGTAAGCCGGTGACGCCGAACGCCGAAACCTGCCCGAACAAGGAGGGGAGGCAGCCTCGGCGGAAGTCGTGACAAGAAAAATGGAAATCACTTGAGCAATGAGGCAATTACATGCTGTAATAAATGTGCAGGCTAAATGGCGTTTGTTGTTGAATTGCTACATTTAAATACGAGTTAATATATTATTTTTCAAGTATTATTTGCAGTTGTCACTATGACGATGAACACACCCTGAAAGCACTAAATGGTCTGAACCAGTATCTGTGCGTTAGAGACCTCATGAATGGTCTGATGTTTATACCACCTTTATTAATAGGCAGCGTGCAGTAGGATGCGTTGATCAGTTGACAGGTGTAGGACTGTAGAACAATAAATGATGAACTTTCCTCTAGTGTGGATGCTCACCAAAGTTGTATAGTTATGTAGCCTATAGTTATATAATTATAGTTATCTTTATAATTATTGGCTTGGTGGATGGCCCTTAACTCTGACACAACACAACTAATGTTATTTATCACAACAGAACTAGCTTACTAGTAGGTCTAGTTAACATTAGCAAACTTTAATGAAATAAATATAAAATTACACTTACACTTATACTTATTTACTTGACTTGTATACTATATAAATGGACTACTTCAAATAATTTACTCTGGCATGTTTGCCACTGCTGCACTGCATTAGGGAAGTAAAGCGGAAGTCAAATCCATAAATTCCGTTGTTTGGCTGAGCCCATAGCAACGTTTGAAAATGAAGTGGATATATCGCCAAATTTGCGCGCACCCCATGTTCCATAACGTTGTCGTGGGAAAAAATGTAAATTTCCAACTACCAATCAGCAACTGCGCCGTAAATCCGGCTGCATATTGAGAAATTGTAATGGCGTCTTTTTGTAGGCACTAACTCCGCCATGGTCAGTTGGACAAAGCCTATGAGGAAAATGAATGGCGTGTTTGGAGGGTTTTTGGATAAACGCCGAAAATAAGGTCTGTGGTAAACACAGGCTTAGGAGATCTTATACGTTTTGTTCTATGCGATAATCTTAATCAGCTAACATCGCTTTTTGTGAATTTTTTAGAATGTATGGAATAATAAAAAACACATAAATCACATAAAGGTCGCATAATTCATAAAGGTCATGTTAACTGACTTCTATTATTTCATAGAACAACACATTTAAATTCTCCTAAGCCTGTGTTAACCTCAGACCTTATTTTTTGAGTTTATTCCAAAACCCTATTCTTTCCATTCAAATCTGCCCCTTTTATTCTCTGTACCCAACGCACTAGAAGACCAGTTCTTAAAGTCTTTAGCCGTATCCTTATTCCTCTGGTGATGTAGAGGTTTACCCAGGCCCTGTAGCCCCCAGTATCACTCCTACTCCCCAGGCACTATCATTTGTTGACTTCTGTAACCGTAAAAGCCTTGGTTTCTTGCATGTTAACATTAGAAGCCTCCTCCCTAAGTTTGAGTTATTCACTGCGTTAGCACACTCCGCCAACCCTGATGTTCTAGCAGTGTCTGAATCCTGGCTTAGGAAGGCCACCAAAAATTCAGAAATGTCCATCCCCAACTACAACATTTTCCGTCTAGATAGAACTGCCAAAGGGGGCGGAGTTGCAATCTAGTGTAGAGATAGCCTGCAGAGCTTTATCATACTATCCAGGTCTGTGCCCAAACAGTTTAAGCTTCTACTTCTAAAAATCCACCTTTCCAGAAATAAGTCGATCACTGTTGCCGCTTGCTACAGACCCCCCTCAGCCCTCAGCTGTGCCCTGGACACCATATGTGAATTGATTGCCCCCCATATTCTCAGAGTTCATACTGCTTGGTGACCTAAACTGGGGAAACACCGCCGCCTCCTTTCCCCGATGCCTCA